GTTTGTAAATGAAATAGCTTTTTATTTCTTAAGATTTTCATTGATTTAAGCATTGTATGGTTTTTGATATACAAATTCTGAGCTTCTTGCATTTTATTTTATTTATTTTATTTTGGAGAAAGTAGTAAGAATTGATACCAGAGGCTTGTGCTAGCTAGACAAGCACTCTATGACAGAGTTACTGCCACCCATGGAATTTCTTGACTAGATTTATTTATGTATTTCACTCTTTTTAATGTTGTTGAAATTGGGATTATTTTCTTAATTTCAGTTTGGGTTGTTCATTGCTTTTCTGTAAACATACACAACTGATTTTTTGAGCTGATTTGCAACATGCTAAACTCATTCAATAGCTTTTATAGTATTTTGGGTAGGTTCTTTTAAGATTTTCTCTATGCATGTCATTTGTAAATATAGACAGTTTTACTTTTTCCTTTCCAATAGAAAGATCATCCTTTTTCCCCTAATTACTGTGGCTAGAATTTCCAGGACAATGTTGAAAGAAGTGAGGAAGCCTGGCGTGGTGGTACATGCCTGTAATCTCAACACTCAGGAGGCTGAGGCAGGAGGGTGGTTGTAAGTTTGAGACCACCCTGGCTACAAACTGAACTCAAGACCAGCCTGAACTACATAGCAAGACACTGTCTGAAAAAGAAAAAAGAAAGAATAGAAAGAAGAAAGAAGAGAGAAGAAAGAAAAAGAAAGAGAAAGAAAGAAAGAAAGAAAGAAAGAAAGAAAGAAAGAAAGAAAGAAAGAAAAAGAAAAAAAAGGAAGTGAAAAAACAGACATCTTTTAAAATATTTTGTTAGTATATGTTTGTGGCATATAACAATTATACTCATTTGGGGTGATTAATATATATAAATCATATTTTGATCATTTTAAATCAGCCTCACACGTTTCCCTCTCCCCTTTCCCTATGTTTAAATGTATACTTCACTGTTACTAAAATCGTTTGTTCTTTAAATTTATGCTTTGGGTTTCTCATATAAGAAGAACTCTAATATTTTACCTTCTGTGTCTTATTTATTTTAACATTAGGATCTACTTATTTCCAACAAATGATTTAAATTTACTCTTCTTTATGGGTAATACTCCTCTGTGAATACATACCATCTATTCTTTATCCATTTATCTGTTCATGAGTATATAGGTTTTCCATAGCTTAGCTATTGTGAATTATATTGCTATAAATGTGAATATAAATGTATCACTCTAATATGATGACCAGATAGGTATGGTTGAGTCAAATCAAGCTTCTATTTTTGGCTTTTTGAGAAATTTTTATACTGATTTCCATAGTGATTATACTAGCTTCCATTCCTACCAACAAGGTAGAGGAGTTTTTCCTGTCCCCAGCTTCACCAGTATTTGGCTTTTAGTCCTTGATTCTAGCCATTCTTACTGGACTAAAATGGAGTGTCAGTGTTGTTTTGAGTTGATTTCTCTTACAGCCAAAGTTGCTAAACTTTTTTAAAAATATTTTTATTAGTTATTTGCAGTTCTTCTTATGAGATGTGTCTATGCACTTCCGTTGCCAATTTTTGTATTGGGTCTTTTGTTTTGGGAGGCCTAATTTAATACCTAGAATATACATGAATGCATTTTTCTACATACTACTCATCTATCAGAGAAGTAGCTGACATAATCCCATTCTTCAGGTTGGGTTTTCACTATTGATTATTTCCTTTATATAATCCCATTTGTTTAATTCTTGGTATTTTAGGTTTCTTTCTTTCTTTCTTTCTTTCTTTCTTTCTTTCTTTCTCTTTTTTTTTTTTTTTTGTTTAATTCCTGTCCAATCTTGCTATCTAGGTAGTGTTGGCTTCAAGGAATTAATCTGGCAGTGTTCCCTCTCTTGCAATTTCATGGAAGAATTTGAGAAGTACTGGTGTTAATCCCCTGAACTTCTGGTGAAATTCAGTGGTGAATCCTTCAGGTTTTGGACTTTAACTTTGTTGGTAAAGTTTTGAATTACTGCCTCAGTTACATTGCCCATTGTTTGCCTATTCAGGAATTCCTGTCATCTTGGTTTCATTTTGAAAAGTTTTTCATGTCTAAGAATTTGTCAGTTTCTCCTTGATTTTTCTAGTTTATTGAAATATAAATTTTCAAAATAGTGTCTTAAACTCCTGTGATATCAGAAGTGTCTGTCCACAATTTTCCGTCTTCTTTTCCAATAACACTGATATGGATCTTTTCTATTTTTTTGATAGGATTAAAGGATTTATTTTATCTTTATTCTCTTAAAGAGACAACTGTTTGATGCACTGATCCTTTGTATTATTTAGTCTTGATTTTATTGGTTTCTCCTGTGATCTTTATAATTTCTTTCTTTTCTACAAGTTTTGGATTTGGTTCGCCCTTATTTTCCTAGGCCCTTGATTTGCATCTCTAGGTTATTTATCGCACCAGAAAATATGCTATACTTGCTCAAAGCTATAGATTTCCCTATTACAGCTACTTTCATTGTGTTACACAGGTTCTAGAATGTTGTACTGCCATTGTTATTTCATTCATTTTCTTTTTTATGTATTTTAGTACAGGGTCTCAGGATCTCATTACACACTTCGGACTCCTAATAATCCGCCTGTTTTCAGCCTCCTAAACACTGGGATTACAGGCACGTGCCACCACACCTAGTCTCAATCTCCATCTCAGTGTGCCCCAGGGGCGGGGTAGGCACAGCATGCCAGGGGATCATACCTTGGCCCATGCATCTGCCTAAGCAGGCACTTTAATCCACTGAGCTATGTGGCCAAAATTTGTTGCCCGATTTCTTTTTTCTACTGATTATTTTAGGAATGTATTAATTTCCATATTGGTATAGTTTCTGTGGTCTCTTTTGTTGTTGATTTCTAGTTTTATTTGATCCTTAGTTTTATTCCATGGTGACTTGATAGAATGCAAAAAAGTATTTCAACTTTTTGTGTTTACTTAAAATGCTTTATGGCTAAACATATGATCTGTTTTGGACAAAGTTGTGAGGACTGTTAGGAAGAGTGTATATTCTGTTGTTGAATGAAATACTGTGCTGTATATTTCTTTGTTTAGTTTTTGCTTGTTTGGTCCCTTTGTTAGAGTGTAGGATTAAAGACCCTACTATGATTGTATTGGTGTCTACCTATCCTTTTACATCAAGAAGGTTTTATCTTATGAAATTGGGTATGCGGACATTTGATGCATATATATTTGTAAGTTTTTTGGTGGGGATACTGGAGATTGAACTCAGGACCTTGTGCTTACCAGGCAGGAGTTTATGCTGCTGAGCTACCTCCCTGGCTATATTTGCACTTGTTACCTCTCTTTTAGCAATACACAGTGAGCTTATTTATCTCTTCCAATCAATTTTGGCCTAAAGTCTACTTTGTCTGAAGTTGGCATAGTTATGACAGGCTGTTTTAGTGCTCCAGTTGCATGGAGTATCCTTTTCTTCCTTTCACAGTCAATCTATGTGTTTCTTTACATGTGAAGTGTCTCTCTTCTAGGCAACATATAGTTGAGTTTTGTTTTTTAATCCAGTTTGCCTAAACACTATTTACATTGAGGGTGTTACTGAAAGGTACTTATTGAATCATATCACTGTTATTTTTAGTGATGGGTCCTTCCTGTTTTGCTTTAATTTAGCTAATGGTGCAGTTAGAGTTAGATGTATTCTTTCCTTGGGGTTCTATGGTAATTTTGGCCTTACTTTTTGTGTTTGTTAATTCCCTTGACTATTTTGTGCAGTGCTTGTTTTGTGGTCATTAATTTTTTTTAGATTCTCTTTTCATTATTTTATTTTATTTTTTTTTCTCTTTTTTTATTTCTTTTTTTATTTTTCAACAAATAATATACTGCATATATTCTTCTTAGTGGTTAATTGCTGTACAAGATGCGGACTTGTGATCCTATTTACAAACACCATTAGAACAAATCATTCTATTCATTAACAGAATGTAACTATATATCTATCCCAACCACTTTGAATACACAGATACAAAATGGACATTCATCTATATACCCCATTTTTTCTAAGTTCCGTTATTGAATATTATAGGTGTGTAAACTCAGCAAAATATTCTAAAAGAGTCCAGTAGCCCATAATAGCATTGGGTCTTCTGTTTAACTGGCAATGTCAGAAATTATTGACCTGAGTCCCCCACAGCTCAACTTAACAGCATGGCTTTATTTCTTATAATTTCGTCTTCATACTTTTCTGCTGGATGGTTAAGACCAAGGTAAAGCAGGACCTATGCAACAAGAGTTGTAGCTTTTTGGTCTGAGAAGGTCAGTGAAATGCCCTCAGGATTTGTCCTGAGATCCTGTACCTCAGATTGTAGAACCTTTATTAGTGCAGCCATGTGGATGAGTCACGGCCAATGCTTGGCCAATGTGCTCTCTGTGAAAGCCTGAGAGAGTATCTTCTCCCCATGTGACTCTCCTTAGGCCCACTCTATGTCATCGCCTTTTCATTATTTTAAAGCATAATTTTGCAAGATATACTAATTTTGGCTGGAAATTGTTTTCTTTTAGGGTTTGAAAAGCTTCTTTCCAAATTCTCCAGATCTTTAAGATTTGTGTTGAGAAATCTGAAAGCAGAATCTTTTGATTGTTTCTGATTATACAAGGAATGCTTTCCATGTTTTCGTAATTAATGATGTTATTTGTATACATTCATTAATTTTAGAACATTTTTGTTCTGATTTTGAAACAGCAGAGAAAAATGGTATAATACAGAAATGCAGAGCATTTAGAAACTTCACCCCTCCTCAAAGATAAGCACTTTTTGTTTTATGAAAATTGATCATTAAGTACTCTTTTAGTATTTTTTCAAGTGTATAACTTGGTACATATTGTATATATTATTTGTACATTATGAAAATAAGAAGTAATACTAATGTTTTATTTGTGATACCTCAGATAATTGGAATTATCTTAGTTACCAAGTATTTGGAAATGTACTATCTTTGGAAATTTGTTGGTTAATTTAATATGTGTTTTATGGCTTTGAATTTTAGGTTGCTTTTGTCCTGTATCCCCCAAGTGGAGGTCCTGCATGGAACCTGAGTGATCATGAAAACATTATGTTTCTCACCATATGCTTTTGTTGGCATTATGCATTGGCCTATGTCATTATTGGAGTGAATTATGCTTTTGTCACCTGGTAAGTTAGTGCAATTTGTTCATGGAAGAAGATTCATTCTTTGATATACATGTGTGATCAAACTTAATATTTTTGAACTCAAAGTTCAAAATTTTCTTTTCATTTCCTGTCACTTCATAAGACAGAGTAGTAGGTGAAGATTATCCGTAAATACAGATGGTGTCAGTAAGAAGAATACATGCTAGTTTGAAAGTGTAAAAGCTGAACAAAGTTTCTGCTGTTCTCCAACCAATGAATCACCCTTTATCACCCTCTTCCATGTGCTGTGTGCTGCTTGGAATGATCCACCTAGTCTATAGTAAATCTTCCTTTACTTGTGTTTATATAGTCTGTGTATAGTAGTTCCTAAGCTTAAGGCCATTTCACAAACTTTTATGAATTAATTTTGAAAATGTGCTAATTTTGACATGAACTCTATTATTTCTATAAGTTATATGGTACATTTTAAAGTAAGAATCATGATACAATGTTCCATGAGAAAGTGAGAAGCAATCAACAAATTGATAAGAACATATTTGCATAGTTCTGCTGCCTATTGTCTGTACAGCTTCAGGACAATTATGTAACCACAGTAAGTCTCAGTTTTATTTGTAAAATTAGGATAATAATAGTAGTTAAGTGAGAGCATGTGTTTAAAGTGTTTAAAACTTAATGAGAACTCAATAAACATTATCATCTCCTTTCTGGTGCTGTTCTCCTCCCCTTGCATTTTCTTTTTCCTTTCTCTTTGGTATAAAATATTGAGGTTTAGATTTTATTCATGAAGAATTTTTAGCCGTATGATTAGGGCTAACTTAGAGAAATATGCAACTAAAATTCAGAGCACCTAATGGAAATAGTAGAACCAAACATTGCTAGAGTTTAGGGAACGCTTCTTGGAATTGAAAATTAATCCTCAACTTTCAAGGTAGGTGGGAATAAATGACTATTGTTTCTTTCTTTAAGATATCTAGTGCCAAAACCTGATGATTTAGCTAACCCCAATTATCCAGTATAAAGGTATAATCCTCCAGAATTCAATCCTGCTTGAAATGTCCTGTTTACAGTGTTGTATATCTACAGTGTTCAACATGGTAGCCACTTGCTGCTGTCGAACATTTGAAATGGGGCTAGTATCACATTAATGTTATGTGCATATGCAGTTAATTTAAAGAACCATATGTAGATACTGGCTACCATATAAAACACTGCACATCTAGCAGATTCCTAGAATGCTAGAGCTGCTTCAAGGCCTACTGGGGTCTCAGCTTCTGTTATAACCAGCTTTCATTCTTTATAGACATGAGCTTGAAGTCACTCCTCCTGCTTTATGGTTCTTTGTGTTTTATGGCTGAAGCTGCTCTGACACTTAGAAACTATTTCTGATGCTTAGAAACTATTCTATTGTCTAATTCCCTAAAGTTATTATTAGGCTTTGAGTCTGTGATTGTCTCCTTTTAAGTTCTTTGGGTGCCAAGATAGTTTACCTTCTCATTGCCTGATTTTTACTTACTTCTGTTCCAGTCTCCAAAAGCGTGTACATGAGTTCATCATAGAGGCTGTCTCTGCCATCGAGTGAAACAACCTCTTCCTTTATTGTTCTAGGCTGACATCTGGGCCTCATCTCCTTAAGGTCTGGGCAGCCTCCAGGAATAGTGCCAGAATTCAAGAAAACACTCTCCCCCATGTCAGATCCCCTCCAGAGCCAGAAGAAGATTATGATCTCTTCCTGTTTCAAAAACCTTCATAAGAGTGATGTACTTCTCATTTATTTACAGTTCTCTTGAAACCAAAAATTACATTCTTGTTTTTAAATCTCTCCCTGGCCTGCCATGTGTCATTCTAAACTTTGTGAACACATATCTCCCTTTTCTGATCTACTCACATCAATGCACATGTCTTCTATGAAAGCATCTGTGATTTCTCTTGGCCTTGCTCATCTGTACTTTTGTATCCACTAGACATTTTAGCAGCTGTGGTTTGTCTTGTACTGTTAGCCACTAGGTCAAATGTGTTAGTCTTCTCTGCCAGCTAGATTTTTGTCTCTTTTTGAAAGACCTGCTGGCACACTGCCAAACATAAAGTATATGTTCTAAACATTTTCTGGCTGTTTTAACACATATGTGCTTCAGGAGTACTTAAATATAGGCTTCATTTGTTGAGAATCATGTTTTATATGCTTTCTTGTTTCACTCTCATGCTGCTTTTGGAAGATAAGTCCAAGAGTTCAAACTTTCTAAACATTTTTATAAAACAAAAACAACAGCTTTAAAATGTTACAAAGATTCAGTACTGCCTGTTAGTGAGGTCACATGACTAGCTCTTTGTCTCAGTTACTTTTCTCTCATTGCTGGGACAAAATACCCAACACTCAGAATTAAGGAAGAAAAGGTTTATTTAACTCACAGTTACTGGAGGTTTCAGTCTATACTCAGCTGGTTCCAAGGCAGAGCAGCACATGGAAGACAGCAGCCATTGATGGTGGTGGAAAACAGCAAAGAGCAAAAAGGAGGAGCTTGTGGCTGCTAGCTGGCCTCTTTTCCCTCCCTGCATTGTAGTGCAGATTATTTTCCCCAGGTGGGTGTAGCATTCACACCCATAATCCCAGAATTAGATCATGAATTAATCACAAACTCTAGAAGCCTGCTCCAGTGACTGCCTGAGGCTTTTGAGGAACAACTGAACACAAACTATAATATTCCACTTCTGGACCCCCAAAGACTCATGCACATCCCTTTATGCAAAAACACATCTTAGTCCATCACTAAGAGTTGCCAAAGTCCTACAGTTTGAGCATTGCTGAGAAGTCTAATTCCCAAGTCTCCTCCAAGATCTAAGGCAAACTCTTAGCTGTGAGCCCCTATACAAATGAAAAGTTAAACACTTTCAACATTCAATGGCACAAGAAAAACATTATCATTCCAAAAGGTACAAACAAGGTGACACAAAGCACTGGAACCAAAGGAAGTCCAAAATCCAGAAGGGCAAACATTAAATTCCATGTGGAACATCCAAAGCAATCTGTGGAAAATTTGTGAGCTCCACATGGCTCCACCTGTATGGCACTGCTCCTGGTTGTAGCTTCCATGGCTTATCTCTGGGGCTGGCTTTGCTCCCTGCTTACAGCTTTCCTCAGATAATCCATGTTCCTGGTTTTTCCAAAATTCTGGAGTTTCTACTGCATTTTAGGCTTCTCTTTCTCTGATTCACACACTGCCCTCCCAGGGGCACACTGTCTAGTCTCCCAGGCCTTCTTCTGAAATCTAGATCGCAGCCTTATTAACCTCAGAACTGTGGCATTCAGCATGCACACAAAACCAGTGCTACATGGATAATGCCAGGGTCTGTTGCCAGCTGGTGCAGTAGCCAGGTTTTCTTCTTGCTTGGCTGTAGGGATCAAATGCCTGGATCACTGAGCACTCTGAACCTTATTCTGAGGAATAGATTCTCTATGCCACCACAATTCTGGAACCTGGTATGGTTGCCACTGCCATTCTGGAACATGGTGCTTTCTGCTTTTCTTCTCAAAGCAGTCTTTTGCCATTGCAGTTTTGAAACTGCAAAGGGTGGAGACTGGCATCCTCCTTGATGCCCCCAGGCCATCCTTTCCATTCTCTTGTTCTTTCTCACCAACAGAGATCCTTTCAGATCTATCTTTTCATTACACAGCTTTATTGGAGCTTCCTTTCTGGCCAAATTCACATTTTATGTCATCCTGCTGGGCTCTTTGCTCTTAATTCTGAACATAAATCTGACTAAAAGCCCCCAACAATAGCCATGCCACTGCCTCAACATTTGACTGCCTTGAAATTTCTTTTGTAAGATTAATCAGCTCTTGAACAACATAGTCAGGTATAGTCACAGCCATGACCCTACTCTTGATGCCAAATTCTTAGCTACTTTTTCCTCATTGCTGAGACAAAATATCTGACATCAAAATTAAGGAAGGAAAGATTTAGCTCACAGCTTGTGGAGGTTTCAGTCCATACTTGGCTGGTTCCAAGGCAGAGTGGCACATAGCAGAGGGCAACCATTCATGGTGGTGGAAAACAGAAAAGAGCAAAGGGGGAAGCAACAGAAGCTATCTTTCTCCTTTCCTTATGTCCTATTCAGGCTATCTGCCCCAGGGCAGGTATAGCACTCACACCCATAATCCAAGCCTTAGATCATGAGTTAATCACAAACTCTAGAAGCCCTTCCCAATAACTGCATGAGGCTTTGGGGGGATAACTAGACACAAACCCTAATGCCCTTTTAGTCCTGAATTTCATCAGTCTTAAAAATTTGCTGATCAGGATTTAACCATGTAGTACTTTGTAACTATTTCACATTGATTATGTGTTAAAATATTATATTGAATTTTTTTGACGTAGTACTGAGAACTTCACTGAAGTCTAAGTAAGTTATGAATTCGTATCACTTCTGCAGTATCAGAAAGATAAAGCTGTGCTTCTCATCATTTAAGAGGGATAGGTGAAAGACTGCCTTATCCAGTTCCATACCCGCAGGCCACAGGGTGGATTATCTATTTATCTATTAGTCATAGGTGAGACTGAACTGTGTAAATCTTATTAGGTGCTTATATTTTATTTCACATTTAAACAATGCTGTTGTACAAAACTACAAAAGCCACCCTTTTATGAATAGAAAAATGGTTTCCATTTCTAGATGCATTTTCTAAGCAATGATTTGTGTGAATGATTTTGAGCAACACGTAGAAAAGTCCAAATTCCAGGCATAGGGTAGTTTCCTGGAAGTGAATCCACTCTCTCAACTCTATTTTTTTTGTCAGAAAATAAGAATACATGAAGAAAACATGTGAGATCAAGGACACAGATGCACTCTGATCCCAATTCTAGGGATTTGTATCATTTTAGTAACTAGCTATTATTAATACTTTTACTGTGTTACCTCAGATCTCAGTTTGACTTACATGGTTATTTCTGCATATGCAGAGCTTAGAACTGCAGTAGTCAGATAAAGCCTGCTAAAGGTATCTGAATGTGTCTCAGCTTGGTGTCCTGTAGCAACAGCAGAGGCACCTTAGAGAAAAGGAATGGGAAACAGGAAGAGTCATTAGAGTCTATATTAACAATTATTTTGCAAGAGGTAGTCATGAATTGTTTTATTAACCACAAGAGTCTTCAGGAATGAAACTAATGATTCACATAATTGCTCAATTGCATTTCACAATTTGTGTAATATGGAAATAATATGGGTTTTTTTTAAAGACAAGGTCTTGTTATGTATTTCAGAGTAGTCTTGAGCTGATTATGTAACCCAAGCTAGCTTGAAACCCACACATAGAGATCCTCCTGCTTCAGCCTCCTGTATGCTGTGAATATAGGTGTGTGCTACCATACCCAGCCCAACATCTGGTTTTTATTTATTTATTTTTGGTAATTTAGGGAAAGGTCTACAGGGTGTTTAGGGTTTAAATTCTAGGTTGGACTCATAGTGTATCTCCTGTTTACAGTCTCCCAAGAGCTGGGATTACAGGCATGAGCCCTGGGGGCAGGGCAACATCTGGTTTTAAAAGTTGACACCAATCTTCTTCAGTCTTTGGCTTGTTAGAGAGTGCTGGCCTTTCATGGGAACCAGAGTTGAAAGGTTTGAGGCCATTGGGTTCAGTATCAATAGTCAATTAATAATTAAGGAAAATGATTTTCAAGACTTCTCTTGACCCCTAAATCAGCAGGTTTTATTGATACTGCTCAGTCATTGTTTTATGGAGGAGTTAATGCTAAATTAGAAGTGACTGAAGAATTAATTTCTATGAAAAAGGGATTTATGTGAGCTTCTGGCAGATTTTCTCAAGTAAGAAATGTCAGATGTGTATTGAGCCACTACAGTGTATTAAACATTGGTCTAGATTCTGGTTTTGGTTAGGGTAGCAAATCCCTGCTCCTAAAAAGCTTTAGTGGGATTTAGAGCACAAGTAAAGTCATGACATTCTATAAAGACAGTCATAGCTTCATCAGAAGAGAAAGTAAGAAATGTCTTAAATCTTTGTCCTTTGTAAGTCCTTAGTTGTTCTTGTGTGGTTAAACAAAACTGACAGACAGAGGGAGAGGGAGAGGGGAGGGGAAGGTGGAGGGGGAGAGAATGAATGAGAAGAGGAAGAGGAAGAGGAAGAAGGAGGAAAGGTAGAAAATGAGATTTAAGGTCCAGGTAGACCAGGAAAGTTTTACTTGAAAGGAAATAACTTTGATTTGGTTTATCAAATTTGTTTCCATATCCATATGCATCCCTGGAAATTGTTTTGTTGATGTACTTGTGGTAAAATGTCTGTATGATAATTGTGTGCAGGAAAAGTTTTGCATAGTTCTTGTCCTTTTTCTTGCATCAGGAAAGTGAGGAACCTGCTGAGCTTTTGTCATTTAGAAGCTTCAGATATTCTAATCTCAAAAGTTATAATTCCTGTCCTGCCAAATCTAAGTTTAGCTTCTCTGAAACTATGAAAATAGAGATCAAGGACACCTCTCTGTACTTCTTGGAAAGGGCCACATGTGGTTGAAGTGCCTGTGACACAAAAAAAGGCTGTGTCTTTCTACCAAGTAGAGGTTGGAACTGAGTCCAGAGACTTGTCTTGGTATGAGACTTGTCTTAGCTTGTCAGATTTACAGGAGGAGATGGCTTCCTGCTCCTCCTTTTCAGGAGAGAAAATCTTTGAGCAAGACCAGTTAGGTGTGGTTTTAATGAAGAAATTCCCCAAATCTCAGTGGCATTTGGGATTGCTACAGCCCAGAGATTCTCTTGTTCATGTAAGAAATTTTGAATGTTATTTTCTAATGCCAACTTACAGAATCACATAGCCAAGCATGGTGGTGCATGCCTATAATTCCACCTTTGTGAGAGACTGAGATGGAAAGATTGTCAGATCAAGGCCAACCTGAACAACAGGTTAGCCTGTCTGAAAAGAAAAATCACATAATATATTTGAAAGCTACATTTTTATCTGTTTACTTATACTACATTTTAATTTACAAACTTCTCCTAGCTCCAAAGTGATATAAAACTGATTTTTTATTTTGTACTGTCTCTACTAGTTACACAAAACCTGTATCTTGTTGCATTATAGTTGTATATTAAGTTCATATTTTAGACATTAACAAAAATGATTTTTTTTTTCTTTAGGTTGGTAAAATCTAGACTTAGGAGACTCTGCTCCTCAGAAATTGGACTCCTGAAAAATCCTGAACGAGAACATGAATCAGAAGAAGAGATGTGATTTTCATGGGCAGTCAATCTATTTAGATAAACATTTTCCTTTTTTGCACTGTCTCTGCTCATTATTTTCTTTCTTGATCATTTGAGAAATAAGTGGCTGAAGATGACTTTGTACTGCTTGTGTTTTCAATTTTGTTGAAACATTTGAATTTGAATGTTTTGTTTTTAACTTTGAAATACTTCAGGGGATAAGTTCATTTTATGTATCATTCATATCATGGTATTCAAAGTGTAGACTGATTTTTCTATCAGCCATAGTTTGAGAACTGTACTATGAAAAATGTTTATTTGCCTTACAGATGTATGTTCAATGTTACTGGGGTTGATACCATTTGAACTTAGTGAACATGGAATTATAATTGTTCATCCTTTCTGCTTGAATGAGAAATAAATGAAGGCATATAAGTTAGTGCAGAAACCTCAAATCTTTGATTTGTTGTTAAACTATACCTCACTTTTGCCTGATGTGGAAGTTACATGACACAGGAATTCTTTTCTGTGAGACATTCCTAACAGAAGTATCTGAGTTCTGACTAAGGAAAAGTAAATCAAAAATTTTACTGAAGAGCATGAAAAAGATGATCCTCAAGACATGTAGTTGCAAAGCCAATAGACAGTGTTAGTGGTGTTTTCTGTAAGAAAAAAGTTATAGCATGGCCACTATGCCAGCTCCTCCATTAAAGTAGATATAGGGTTAAAACAAGGAAAGAACTTACAGAACATTTGAATAAAGTGTCAGAATCTTCACTGACCCTGTTGACAAAGTAGTTCCTACTGGAGATTCAGGCAATCTCGGTTCTGGTTCTAGCCTTATCATTAACTAGCCACCATGTCTGTAGTAATCAGCACATCCTTCTCTCTAACATGAGAGAATCGAATTGAGAGACTTATGGACCTCTTTCTTGGCTGTCACATTTTAGAAATCTTAGAATAGAAACATGTGCACAGGTATAAAGACCAGTCTCTGCCTGAGAAAGAAAGGAGAACAGTGGGCCTCCTGAGGAATGACCACATGTGGAGAGGAGACAATCTCATGGGCCGATGGAGCTTCAACATGGGGCACTTCAACCTGAAGGTCCTTGCATTCCAAAGCACTTACAGTTCCAGAAACTGCTCCATCTGGTACCCATCACAGTGACACAGAGAGTGAGGTGAGTAGGCTCTTCCAGCCCAAGAACTGGACACAGTCATTTATTTAGGTAAGGTTTGAAAAGAACAAATGTGGGTGCTCAAGTGTTTATCTTGAATAATGCAATAAATATTCATTTTTGTATAAGAAAATGCTCACACACCATGGTCCCCTGGGAATCACATGTTCTGAGCAAGGTGCATTCAATATCTGAGGTCTGTTCCACTCCAGCAATGTTCTATGACTATGGCAAATCTGAATTTCAAAGAAATTAATGTAAAGGCAGATGCTATTACTTGACACTAAAGTTGCTGGTATAAAAGTCTAAGCAGTGGCCTTAGAAATTACTGGTGTAAATAAGATTAAGCCTGGAATTTGAAAACTAATATTAATGTTCTTCAGTTTTTCCAGTCTCTGTACAGAGAATACAAGGAAGAGGCAACCTAGTGAGTTCTCACAAGAGGAACATTTAATTCATGTCTAAGAACAGTCTGGAGGTCCCTGCCTCCTTTCCTGAAAGTGAGTTTTACAGCCATTGATGTAATTTTACAATTATATTACTGGATTTGTATTTTATAACTATGATTTTTAATGAATGACATGAAAAAGTAGTAAACTGAGATTAAGCCAAAACAGAAGAGTCTGGTATTTTTTCTGTTAGAAAGTACTGGGTCACTAGGTAAAATCTGTTAAGGTTCTGATTTATAAAGAATTCTATTCCAGTGAATTTTCTGAAACCATGGAAAATAGTTTATGACAAAAATATGTGAAGTTTTAACCCTATATCATAAGATGAAAATTATCTTCTGTCTGTTCCTATCAACCTGTGAGTATTAATGGACTCATTCACCCAACAAGTGTTCAAATCAGTTTCCATATGCCAAGTGGTACACAAGAACCTGGGAACAAGGCTGGCCTGATAGCTCAGTGGACCAAAGCACCTGCTTAGGTAGAGCACAGTGGCTGGGGTTCAATCCCCAGTATGCTGTGCAGGATCCCCCACTCTCCACCCCGTGGGGCACGCTGAGAACAGCAATTGAGACTGGGCATGGTGGCTCATGCCTATAATCCCAGCACCTGGGAATCTGAAAACAGAATCACTACAAGTCCGATCTACATAGTGAGACCCTGTAGACCCTGTCCTAAATACACAGAAATAAAAAAAAAGAACTTAGGAACATAGTGGTAGTCAAAGCAAAGTACCCACTGTGATCAGTCACCAAACTTAATATCATGTATTTGACACACAATAACCATGTCAAATATATGTCTTGTAATTGTGATAATGATATGTAGAAAAATAAAGCTGGGAAGGAAGCTAAAGAATGATATGATGGGGCCATGATACCTTTTTCCCTAGGATGTCCCTATCTCAAAGTGTCTCTTCAATCATCTTGGGGAAAAAGTACTCCTACCCCTACCTCTCCATCATTATTTAAGGTTGTAATGCAAGTTGAACGCTAAACTCACCCAAGATTATTGTGTTGGAGCCTATTTGTCCCTTACATCAAAGAACGTTGTATGTACAGCTTCATAATACACATCATTTTTAGCCGCTTATGGAACTTTTTCAAAGCAGGTCATCTTTTGGGCCATAAAGGTCTTAATAGATATAAGAAAATTTCTTGGATTTCATCAGGAAAGAATGGGGTAAAACTAGAAATTAACAATAAGAGAAACTACAAAAATTTATACAAACACATGGAGATTTAGCAATTTACTTTTCAACCATTAGTGGGTCATTAAAAGTATCTATGGAGAAATAAAAAAAATTCTTAAGACCAAAAAAAATGGGAATGTTCTATACCAGTATATCTGGGATATAGCAAAGGCACTTGCAAGAGGAAGGTATTTAACATGTCAGGGCCAAAGTCATCTAAAGAAAAAGAGTAATGCTGGCGGTATCACAATACCTGATTTCAAAATATACTAGAAAGGTATAGTAACTGAAAAAGCATGATACTGGCTCAACAATAGACACATACTACAATGGAATGGACTGCAGCATACTGAAACAACAAGCTAAACTGTCATCTGATTCTTGACAAAGGGGCTCAAAACATTCACTGGAAAAAAAAAAGATAGCCTCTTTAACAAACGTTGTTGAGAAAACTACATATTCACATGTAACAGATTGAAATTACATTCCAGTCTCACAAAAATCAGTTCAAGATGAATCATAGACCTAAGTGTAAGACCTGGAATGTTGAAACTGCTAGAAGAAAACATAAAAAACGTGTTTGTAGGCACAGATAACAAGTCTCTGAATGGGACTCCCAATGCAAAATAATAACAAGGCAACAAATTGGACTATATTAAGTATCAGCCTAGCGAAAGAAACAGTCAACAACGTGAAGAGACAACTTATACAGTGTGAGAAGGTGTTTTCCAGTTTTATGAATAGAGTATTTAAGGAAGGTAAAAAAAAGAAACCCCCACACACATACACACACAAAATCTTACCACAGATGGTTCAAATTATTCCTGGGCAAATAAATTGAATAAATTTTTCTCAAAAGAAAGACTACAAATGGCCAATAGATACATATAGGAATGTCTAAAACCTTTAGTCCTTAGGAATATACAAATAAAAATAGTAAAATACAAATTAAAACTACATTGAAATTCCATCTCACCAGTCACAATTGTTATTATTGACACTATAAAAATAGTAAGTGCTAATAAGGATGTGGGAAGAACAGGAATGCTTCTACACTGTTGGTAGGAATGTAAGTTAATACAGCTACTGTTGAAATTAGTGAGGGCTGGGGAGATGGCTCAGTAGATTAAGTGCTTTTCTGGAAAGTGCAAGGGTCTGAGTTCAATCTCTGGTTCCAAAAAGAAAAAGAAAAAGAAAGAAAAAAGAAAGAAATTAGCATTACTTGCTTCTCAACTTTTGTTGTCACTATTCTTGTCACATCCAGTGGTCAAGCCTGTTCAGCAATCTAAATGCTTCTTGTATCTGGATATCCATTTTTTTTTTCCTAAAAGGCAGGAAGTTTTCTGCTATTATTTCACTGAAAAGATTTTTCTATGCCTTTAGTCTGTACCTTGGTGTCCTCTTTTACACCAAAATTTAGTATGTTTCATATTTTAACAATGGCCCAGAGTCCTTGGATAATTTGTTCATAATTTCTTGTTTTTTTTCTTTATTACTCTTTGAGTGTGATAATCTATCAATAGCATCTTCAAGCCCTGTAATTCTGTTTTCTTGATCCAGTCTATTTGTGAAAATTTTCACTGAGTTTTTTATTTGACATATTGCATTTTCACTTCCAAGACTTATATTCAATTCTTTTTGAGAACAGCTGTTGGTTTAACTGATTCTTAATATCCTGCATTGTCTTCCTTAACTCATCAATTGCTTATTCTTTTTAAAGCCATTGGTAATTTAAAAAGTTGGCTTTTTGAATTCTTTGTTCATATTTCATCCATTTTTATATTTCCTCATTCAGTTACTAGCAAGTTATGAGCCTTTGCAAATCAAATTGTCTTGTTTTTCATACTTTCTATATTAGTGTTGATATTTGTGCATCTGTTAGGGTGAAAATCTGCACCAGTTTTAAGGATCTTCTTAGTGGCCAGCCTTTTTTGGAGGCTTTGATCCCAAGTACTCCTGAGAGAAGAGAAAAAAAACTTGTAATGGTGGAAACACACACACACACACACACACACACACACACACACACACACACGATGTTGAAATATAGTAAAAGCTAATTAAAAGCAAAAACTGTACCACTGTTAACAATGAAAATCAGGGACAATTAAAATATAGACTATAGGGTTGGCCAGATAACTCAGTGGACTAAAGCTTAGGCAGAGTGCAGTGGCCGGCACTTAGGATGCTGAAAACAGGAGGATCACTATGAGTCCGATCTGTGTATTGAGACCCTGTAGACCCTGTCCTAAATACTAAAATATAGACTATAGTAAGAGGCTAAGTATTAATAAATGTTAAAATTAGTAATAA